AAGGGTGAAAATTCGAACTAATGGCAGGGAAGGATGCAGAAACTCCGTCCTCTAAAACCGGTGGTAACGGCAAAGATGGGGAAGAAAACATCGACAAACAGATTTCCAGGATTAGTCCGTATGAGCTAAAATCGGCGGACACACCTGCGCTAGTTGTCACCCAAATAAAATTGACTGGTGATAACTATGAAGAATGGGCACGAGCAGTGCGAATTGCTCTGCGTGCCAAACGAAAGTTTGGGTTCATTGACGGATCCATTCCTCAACCCGAAGACGATGATGAAGAATATGAAGAATGGTGGATCGTGAACGCCATGCTGGTTTCTTGGATTTTCAATACAATTGATGGATCTTTACGAAACTCGATCACTCAGGTCGAGGAGGCAGCGGTATTATGGAAGGATATTAAGGATCGGTTTTCGGTTGCAAACGGCCCCCGTATCAATCAACTCAAGAAGGAATTGGCTAATTGTAAACAGAACGGGAAACCCGTCGTCACATATTTTTCAAAATTGAAAAATATTTGGGATGAACTAAATACTATAGAGAAGATTCCAACATGCACATGTCACGGTTGTAAGTGTGGTATTACCAAACTTATTGAGCAGCAGAAGGAGAATGAAAAAGTTCATCAATTCTTGATGGGATTGGATAATGAGGGCTACGGTAGCCTGAGATCAAACATTTTGGCTACCGAACCCCTGGCACCTCTCAATCGTGTGTACTCTACGATTATTCAGCAAGAAGGAGTGCTGAAAGTTACTCACGAAGAAGAAAAGAATCCCGTTGGTTTCGTCGTCACCAACAAAAGAGACCGTGACATTATAAAAGACACGAGGTGCAAACATTGTGGGATGACCGGACATGAGATTTCGGGTTGTTTTCAACTGATCGGCTACCCCGAGTGGTGGGGTGACAGACCACGTGGACAGGGCAGCGGACGTGGGGGCAACCGGACCGGTCCCCCCCGTGGAGGATCAGTCGCTGGACGGGGAGATGCCGGGCGTGGAATAGGTGACCGCCGTCACCGTGCAGGCAGTGGAGGAGCCCCTGGGGGGCCGACTGTTCTCACAGCAAAAACAAACCCCTCCGGGGGTGTACGAGAACAGCTTACACCTCAGCAATGGGAAGCTTTGGCAGGAATGTTGAAGGAAAAGGAAATTCCCATTGAAAACAAATTCTCAGGTAACAATGTAACAACTTGGGTCATAGATAGTGGAGCAAGTCAATATATGACAGGTGATGCAAGCTGTTTAATGAATATCGAAGCAACCAAAGCTTGTTCGGTTGGTCTACCCAACGGAGACACGGCTACAGCTGATCAGAAAGGAAGCATTAAGCTAACGGACTCCATAGTTCTGACGGATGTGCTTCTTGTTCCTCAACTTACTTGCAATCTTATATCTGTTTCTCAGCTTCTTGCGGATAAACAATTAATTGTTCAATTTGTTAACAAAGTTTGTATTATACAGGACTCTATTTCGAAGACGGTGATTGGAGCGGGTAAACAACTTGGAGGGCTGTACTATTTGCAGAAAGGTGTGACCAATAAAGTTTGTGCCGTAACTGAAGACGATGACGTCAACACTTGGCACAGGAGATTAGGACATCCACCCCATCCCATTATCCAACTTCTTCCTCAAGTATCTTCTTCTAAAAATAATGTACTTCATTCTCCTTGTGATGTTTGTTTCTGTTCTAAGCAATGTCGTGACTCTTTTCCGAATAGCTCAAATAAAGCCAATTTTCCCTTTGCCTTAATTCATTGTGATTTATGGGGTTCTTATAGAACTGCATCTAGAACTGGGGCTAGATATTTTTTATCCATTGTAGATGACTTTTCTTGGGCCGTATGGGTCTATTTGTTACACAATAAAGATGAAACCCCTTCGGTCCTCCTCAATTTCTTCGCCATGGTGAACCGCCAATTTGATAAAAATATTAAAATGGTTCGTAGTGATAATGGAACAGAATTCTCTTGCATGAAACCATTTTTTCAGTCTCATGGCATACTCTTTGAATCTTCTTGTGTTGGCACCCCACAACAGAATGGTAGGGTGGAACGTAAACATCGTCACATACTCAACGTGGCCCGTGCTCTACGGTTCCAAGCCAACCTTCCTATTGAGTTCTGGGGGATTGTGTCTTAACTGCAGCCTTCTTGATTAACCGCACTCCTACTCCCCTTCTCAAAAATAAAACACCCTATGAAGCTCTGTTTGGAAAACCTCCGGTGTATGCCCACATTAAAACCTTTGGATGCCTGGCTTATGCCCATAACCAAAATCATCGTGGCGACAAATTTGCAAGCCGATCACGAAGGTGTGTCTTCCTTGGATATCCGTTTGGACAAAAGGGCTGGCGTCTCCTCGATTTAGACACTCATAAAATCTTCATCAGTCGAGATGTCCGGTTCTTTGAACAACATTTTCCGTATCTCTCTCCATCCCTTGAACCCACCTTATCTCCCTCGGTTGGTCCCACACCCGCTTCAGAAGATGATGAGCCGTCGTCAGTCCCTAACCCGTCACCTGTGTCAACCATTCCGTCAAACGTCACCTCAGAAGCTTGCCCTTTGGCACGGGACAAATGAAGTATAATTTATTTCGTATTTATTTAAAAATCGCATCAAAAGTTTTATGAATGAAAAGGTGAAGTTACTATTACGTATATTATTTTATGAAATAAGTAACGAAAATAGATATAAAAAATATTTAAAGTATAACTTTGTGAATCGTAAACAAATATATAAATTGGAATGGAGAGATTAAATTATATATATCAATAAATTTATTAACATCTCAAATATGCAGGGTATGAGTAGGGCTTGTGTGCACAGACATTGCCCGTAATCAGAAGTAGAGAAGCACAAAGCTGTTTTTGAGATACTCTCGACTTAAGCACAAAGTTTTGATACATATTGATCATGGTTATTATATCAAACGTCTTATATAGTAAGATATTATTTTGTTCAGAAAAACTAGTTTTAATTATTTAATGCTACATACGTCTTAAAGTATTTGATTGTAAAAAGTTAAACTTGACAAATATTCTGGGATAAATTGATTGCGGATTGGCTTGGAGTGAAACCCACAAGTACGTGTGGACGGGTTCAGATATGTGAGGCTAGACGTGAATCTAAAAAAATATCATCATTATATAGCATCTCTGTTTGATCCAAAATCTCGCTTATCTTGGATTTTAAGCAGATCTCATGAAAATCAATACTCCATGCAAGAAAAGGAAAAAAAGTGATCTAGCGGTGAATTGGTAAAAGGAAAAAACTTGAGATTGTTAATTAGTGGCGAATATGAAGTCCTTTAGAACGGACTATTGTCAATTTGCGACGAAAGGCAAGGTAAAACGCCTACCCGGGTGCATCTAGCTATTTCAGTCTCATAAAGAAGTGAAGAGTAAAATATTGTATGATATCAACCTATTCTCTCCATTGTTAATTTATTGATCATTAACATGGATAAAAAATTGAATGAATTGTAGGCATATACCATAGTATATCTCGAAGTAGGGGTGAGCAGAGTACCGAATTGATCTCGAAAATTTTTGAAAAAAACTTTGAAAACTGAACCAACCAAGTACCAAAAATTCCGAAGTGTATTGACTCGAGTGATCGGTTTGGCATTGAAGAATGATACGAGGTAACTTTGCATATTGAAATTTCCTAACCGAATAATAAATTTATTTAAAAATATATTACAAATTTTATTATGTGTACATTATACTATTGTTTGAGTTTTAATTTTTTAAATTGAATTTAAAAATATTGACAAACATTTGAAATGCTATTTTGTAATAATTTATTCTTTTAGCTTGTGAAACTTAAATTAAGTTTTCATTAGCATTTTTTGAATTTAATTATTCATTTTTTTAGTTTTTTATATTTTTTACTCCCCCGTCCCAAATTAAATTGTCTGTTAGCTATTCACATGGTCAACCTTCATTCACTTCTGTTTCTATTTTTGTTAGTCATCTGATAAAATAATATAATCATGTCACCACTAGTTTTGTAGATATTTTAATGTAGTTTTTAAATATGTAATTCTTATTTTTAATTCTATATCATTTTTAATATAAAATTATTTGAAAATAACTTCAGTCAAACATTGTAAACTGAAACAGACGATTAAAATTGAGACGATGGGAGTACTTAAATGTATCTTCGAGTTTTCAAAAAATAAAGAATTTTATTATATTTTAAAATGTAAATTAAGTATGTATATGTTAATCATGATTTGTACCGAAACTGATACCAAATCGTTCTAAACCATATGGAACCAAAATTTTGAGATAATGATACAACATAAATTAACGAATTGAAATATTTGGTATAGAAGTCTGGCAAATTTTTTTGTAGACCTAATGTTCATATTTATTTTATGGACCTTAGTGCATTTGTAATATAAAAAAAGTAAATCTTTACAGAAAAGAAAATATACATACAAACCAATAAAAAAATTGAGAAGATGCCCATTTTTAAATGTGGATTTTAGACATCACTCTAGAAGTCTAGGTAGGATGAGGTAAGAAGTAAAGCCCATATATTTCTTAGCGATTCGATGAACTGCGTGTCAGGAGTTTTAAATTCCACTCCGGCACTCCTACTTTAAGATAAAACAAGAGGATCTTATTGAAGTATGGCTCGTGTTGCAAGTAAAACTCCTAATTTTCTGCATCTGTTTCGATCGCACCCTAATTTGGTTTCTTTGACACTGTAGAAGCGACGTTTATTTGATCGAAACGATGAAAGAGCAGAGCAATTATGTGCCGCCGCCGTACATCCCGTTGAGGCAAACAGACAAGGAACCGGAAAACTCTCAATCGATGGAACAGGTCTCTCCGCACCCTGGAAATGGCGGCGGCGGCGGCGGCCAACAATGGTCTTCTGGAATCTGCGCTTGTTTTGATGATCCACAGAGCTGTACGTTACTTTCTGCCCTCAAATCTGTGATTTTTTTCAATCAGAAGGAAAAAAAAAGGTGAATGCTCATTAAATAAATAATGAGTTTTTTTTTGCTCTATTTACCTGAACTTTTCAAAAATTGTACGAATTTCCTTTAAATTTTAAAAATTACCTTAATGCCCTTTGAACTTTTAAAAATATTGTTTGGGAGTGAGTTAATCACACGCATCCAATGCAAGTATAGATTCATCTAAAGTCATATACCACACGTGAGTTGTGCAATATGCCCTTCCCTAACATTATCTTCTACTCCGTGTATTTTTGACATCTTTAAACCCTAGATAATTAATCTTGATTTAATCGCCGGTAACCGAATTTCAAGGCCATACATCAGTCGATAAAGTTTGTCATTAATCAATCAACATCTTAATCCGTTCATGACATCTTCATCAAGTTCCAACACGTATATTGATGAGTGTGTGATTAACTCACTTCCGAGGTGTTGATGCAATATTTTCAAAACTTCATGGGGCATTGGTGCAAATTTTAAAGTTCGAGGTGAATCCGTGCAATTTTCGAAAAGGTGCAGTTTTGATGATTATAACCCACTATATAACTTAGTGTTTTAGCTTTTAGGTCTGAGAACAACATTTCTGATTACTGATAAGTTTTGGATAATTTTTAACAAAGCTACCTGTGAATACCATTTCCAAAAAGCTGAAGCTAAAGTGAGCTAAACTAATCTCTACTTTGTGTTGTCATCCTAACAATAAGGAAATCATAAAATTATGAGCCTGCCGCAATGTAAAGAGTAAAAAGAAAATTTGGGCAGAAAAAAGGATGGTGAGTAGATGCTTAGAGAAAAACAATTTAATCATGTCCTAATTTCTTTTGTATTTTTCAAAGTAATACTCCCTCCGTCCCAAAATATAAGCAACATTACGCTAAACGAAGTAATTTTTTGAATTTTTTCAATCCATTTTATTTAAAAAATGGTCTACAAATGAAAAATAAAACTTACATATTTAAAAACTACGTCAAAAGTTCTACAAAACAAGTGGTGACAAGAATATTTTATTCTATCAAATAATCAATGAAAATGCAAAAATAAATAAAAGTTCCGGGATTTTTAAATAGTGGAGTGTTGCTTATATTTTGGGACGTTGGGAGTACCAAACGTACTCGAAATGTATCCAAAGTCAGCAATGAAGTGTTTTGTATATGACTTTTATGAGGTAGAATTGCAAAACATATGGTGTAGAGTGCCAATCGAGTTGAGATGCACAATATTAAGGTGGATTGAGTTTTTTTTGTTGCTATGGATGAAGTCGTATTATTTTCGTGTAAAACCAACTAACTACCTATTCTTAGAAATACAGATCATATTGCTTTCTACAGAAAATGGGATTTTATTTCTCGTAGAGATATTTTTAGTTTCAGCGAATATTTTCTGTCTAATGCATAATCTGCTCCATGAAAATGAGGTTTTGGTTGCCCTTAAGCTGGAACTATTCCTTTTATTTTCTTTGCTGTTTTGTGGTTTTAGATGAGTCCTTCACGTGTAATAGTTAATATAGTCATTTTTAGGGGTCTGAAATGGTTGTTTGGATGCAATTGTTTTGTGCTCAGGTCTCGTTGGACTTCTTTGCCCTTGCTATCTTTTCGGGAAGAATGCCGAGTTCTTAGGCTCTGGAACCTTGGCTGGTTCATGCTTGATCCACTTCATTTTATGGGCTCTTGTGAATACATTCTGCTGTGTGCTAACCGAGGGCATGCCTTTGGGTTTACCTGGATGCTTAGTTGCATGCTATGCCTCCGGCTATCGTAGAACGTTGCGATCAAAGTACAATCTACAGGTTTGTCATATCTATTGTTTTGATACAACATCAGTTTACGCTCCATATGCTTGAAAATAGCCAGGTATGCTTTTATTTCAATTCTTTCAGTGCAGAATTAAGCTGTTTTCCTATTGATTCTGTGGGCAGGAAGCACCGTGCGGGGATTTCACGACTCATTTTTTCTGCCACTATTGTGCAATGTGCCAGGAATACAGGGAGATCCGTGAGAGGCGTGGTGAGTTGGAGTCCCCTAACCCGAACCGAATAGAGGTGATAGCCCCTCAAGTTCAGACAATGGAATTGACACCCGAAAGCAACTAAAGCAGATTGTAATTTGTTCTTGTCTATCTTAAGAGGTTTTGTTGTGCAATTCCTCATCCAGCAGCAATTCAAGACTCTTGGGCATATCCTTACTGGATGGGTTGTTGTTTCACTAACTGTGGAGTCGTTTGTGTTAAATATATTAAGTATATATTTAGTATCTTGTGTATATAGTAATTTCCATACATGTATAGTCCTTATTAATTAAGGATTCCTAACATAGTAGGTTTCCTATTATAACTAGGACTACTCTACTATATAATATCCCTTGTATTCCCACATTATGATTATTGGAATATATCAATTCTTCATGGTATCGGAGCCCTAAAATTTTTCACGGCTCTCTCTCCCTGTTTCGGCTCTCTCTCTCGGCAGCATCTCTCTCTCTGCCGTAGCTCTCTCTCTCTCTCTCGGCAGCATCTCTCTCTCTGCCGTAGCTCTCTCTCTCCCTGCCAACCCTCTCTCTCGGCCATCTCCCCTATATCTCACCATGGCCGAAGTCTCCTCCGTCTCCTCCGACAACACCAAATCTCCCCACCTTGCTTTTACAACAATCTCAAACATTAAACTCCATATCCCCGTTCAACTCAGTATCTCGGAGCCAAACTACAAAAAATGGAGTCGACTCTTTCGTCTCCTTGTTCTTCGATTTAATCTCATGGGATATCTTGACGGCACTATCGTCGCCAAATCGGCCAACGATGCTGAGTGGTTCCAATTCGACGCCCTACTTCAAGGATGGATCTTGTCTACCGTCTCCGATGAGGTCTCCGATCTCGTCCTCGCAAACAGCCCTACAGCCGCGGCACTCTGGAAAGCGATCTACAAATTGTTTCATGACAACAAGCACGCCCGGGCGATGCAATTGGAGCACCGGTTTCGCACCAC